AATGGCACTCAGTAAAGCTTGTAGTACAAGTCACCTTGTGAGGACCTGTGACACTTCTAACCAATTGGCTCAGTTACCATTCCAAGTCATTACCTTACCTCAGCTCCAAGGGGTTGACAGCTTTCACCAAAATGAGACTTGTTAGTTGAGATGAACTAACAAAAGTCTAAATGCCCCCTCTAAGCCAACAGCGTCAAAACATACAAAAATTATATTATAAATATAAGTGACTATAATCGGCAAGAGTATTTGACATATTTCGAGGCGTATAAGGGAGGGAAAATTCATCGATAGGGGGGTGCTGTGCACGGGCAAAAAGAACGTGAACTGGGCTCGAGAAACACGAGCACTGGAATCCATCGAACGCAACAAACAACCTAAGAGAAAGCTCACACCAAAAACGAAAAGCTCTTCGCAACGCAAACAAACGCGTTGGGGGTTAGCACGCACTGAACTCACGACCGCCTCTAGGTACTTGATAATCGAGCCGAACGTGAGTGATTAATCACTTGAGAGTGACCACTGAGAACGACAGGTTAGCGATAGGATATCATATTTCTCCTTCACAGTCCCATCCAAAAAGGAGTAATGACAAGTGGTGCAGCTCAACCACTCGTATGACCCGGAGTCTCACCTCAGCTTTATCCTTTTTAATCTTTGAGTGACGAAGGAGAGGTAGATGAAGAACGTCTGTGGTGCAGCAAGTGAAGCTGCTCCACAGCCGTTTGTCATCTACTGGCTCTTAGAACGGAAAAGTTCACAGAGCCTGCGGCTAGAAAACCTCCCATATCACGTCGAGAATTGGTGGGGCGTGGTGTGGTACGCCGTTTAACAATGTTCTAGGATTGGCTTTCTCATTAGAACTTATTTCTAAGGGCTGCTGCCACTTCTGCTTGTGACTGGTAAATGTATGATTACGCTGTCCCAAGGAAGCACGACAGAACGTAGGCCGTACACGTTCAGTGAAGTACGCGCGCTGCCGCTTTCATTTCTGAGATATGGAGACTGTACAGGTCTCATCACTGGTGGGATTGTCGAGTGGGCTGACTGCGACGCGTGTTCGGTTTGGTCCGTTGCGTTAACAATGGCCGTGCGGTAAGATGATTTAGGGAGGGGAACCATGTATGAAACGCAGATCGCAGTGCAAGACTATTGAATTGCGACCGACAATTGCCGGTGATGTAAAGTGTATTCTCGGCAAATTGTTTGAATTGTGACAGACGTCAGGAATTTTTCATGATTTCTCGGAGCAATTCAACATCTTGCCGGGGAAAAAAAAGATATAGATTACGAATGATATGGTCTAAGCAAAATTCGTTTTCACCTGACGCGGGCAGCGTTCCCGGGCGAGCGGCGTCACATGCGGAACCTCGCACGGCAGGATCATGTGCTACAGAGAATTGCCGTCAAGTGAAGAGCAAAAACTTCGTTCACCCGTAGTTTCGCCGCGCGTGGCCTCCATCGCTGTGAAACCCGTCGCGCGCGACTTACTGCAGGACCATATGCTACTGAAAAGAATTCTCGTCAGGTGGACGTCGTGCCGTTGCTTCTCTGGAATTTCGCTTACCCGCTATAATCGATCGCAACTAGGTAAGAAAATCACTCTTTACTCTATATTACTGCAACATTCATAAATAATGCAATAATAACAACGAAGGTAGAAAAATTCGGCCATTACAGTCACACATGATTATTTAAGGTAGAAGACGAAAAACACAAGTAAGCAGGATCCAACACGGTGAAAATGGATTCTTCAAGGCGACAACGATATTTACCGCATATTCCTTCGAATGGATAAGGGAAGAAGTGGTTGAAAAGTCACTAACTAGTCATCGCTACATAGTAATCACAAAGAAAGCACATCAGTTGATGTCAACTAATCGGAAATGATAACCAACCAATTTAGATATAATACCATTCCCAACACCAGTGCTGTGACACACGAAACAGCCAATTTCCTAAAATACATACACAACAACTACCTTCCTTTAACAACGTAACATTTCTAGGCGAATTACGAGGAAGGTGCTGAGATATTGGTCAACCTTGGCAGTAAAACCTTATCAACTAGATCGTTAACCTAAATATAACCATCATTAATACCGGTCAGTATTTCCACATTTTGAAAAAGGAACAACCACCTAGCGCATCCAGCATTTGTACACACAGTACATACCACGACGCCTAGAGGGGGCGCGCTCACGGACATGGTTGTGGGCGTGGCTGCGACTCTTGGGTCGCCGCTCCAGACCGAGAACAGTGGCTAGTATACCAACGCCTTCTGTGCCGCCCGGGATCTCTTCCACCACACTGTCCACGTCTCTGTTCAAAATGGCAACAGCTCGCGGCCGCCGTACCCACGACTGAGTCCGTCGACACGCTCTCTCCAGGCCCCATGGTATAGACTGCCTGTAGACCTCTTCAATATACCCCCACTTATAAGAATGTCGAGTAAAGGTCTAAGTTGTCAGCTTGACATTTACCAGATCCTACTGAACGTAGTAACTGCCAGACAGCCTGCGAACTTAATTCATCTCGAACCTCCTAAAGGCACATTTCAGATAACTCCTGAGTGAAGACCCATAAACACCTGTTTTGCTCATTATGGTGCCCCTCCTCTCCACTGTACTAGAAAGGCGCACCAATGAGGAAAGCGCAATGCCCAGTGAGGATACCGCAGCTCAAGAAACTAATCAATGAATATATCAGCTCATTCTGATGTAGTCAGAAGGCGATTATGTACAGCCTTGTTCGCTGCGGATGCTTGGGCGTGTCAAGGGATAGGGCTGGGTTCGAACCGCAAAACCTGTTCTCCACTTGTTGAAGCAGGCAAAAGACAACAGTTGGTGGAAAAAAGGATGGTGCCGCGCCAAACTCAGCCCCTCTGACACGCTACTGCGTCAGCAGTGAACAAGACGATATCTTCTGTATTGCCTCCATAGTCTCAAAAGTGCAATGTGGCATAAATGTCAAAACCAACGCGGACTGGCCACCTTCCGATACCACGACAAGCGCCAGACTGGCCAGAAATGGGGCCAAATGTTTTGGTGAAATGCACGTGACCAACTTACAAAACTATAACATGCTACGAGGCTAATGTATTATATGAGCGAGGGAGCGCAGTTTATAGAGGAGAGTTTATAGCCCTACCGGATCTGATGCAAGCACATGGCGCGCAAAATAAACGCTCACATTAGGAGCGGACGACTCTACGTATCCACAATCACGTTCAATGATCCTTTCCAGTTTGTGCTGTCAAAATCAATCGCTAACATGCGCGTGCGTGTGACGAGCGACGTCGCGCCGCCGAGAAACCATACGCTTCGCTAGACGTTGTTTTCTACCCTTTGAATCAAAATGTCGAATGGACAGGAAATATCGATTTCACTAGGAATCTTGCTCCACACGAACTAACATTAGCTTTGCTGCTCCAATCAACAATACTGACGAGAAATCCTGCAGATGCGCCGTGTGCGATTTGAGATTGTTTTGCCGTCTAATCCCCCCCCCCCCAGAATCAGCTCTGTAACTCAAAGATAATTTTGACTGCATGAGCACAAATGGGACCCATTTTCTGTATTATTGTTTCCGCCAAATACCACTATCGACACTCCGTTTATGAAGGTCGATGTGATGCGCGCACCCTTCTCAGAGTAATGAACACCTCGCTCACTGCTGTTTAATACTGAAATCCCTCGAAAAAAAAACAGCCAAAAGCGCAGAAAGTTCGAAATTGAACCGCCGAACTGCACCAACTCTACCGATTTTCTAGCTCCAACAATCAACTTGAGAATCGTATGTAGTTCTTGAGATGGGTGTATCTGGCTGTTAGAGCAAAATTGCGCGTTGCCGCTGAGAAATTTTTCCGCGTTGTTGACTTTTTGCGTGCTTTTTCTTCTTTCATGTGTTAGTATTCACCCCCCCCCTCGACAGCAAAATTTTTGGCGCTAAAATAGGGAAACTTTGGAACCTGTGAAAAAGTGCTAGAAGTTGAGAAAAATCTTAGGAAATTTTCCCGTTCACATGCGGTATCCTTTCCCGCCCCCGCATCCTAGGAAAAATCTTGGATGAAAAACTGGAAAAGGTGGAAATTGGTAGGTAGTGCTGGGTAAGGTGGGGTCCCAATCAACAGCATCCATATACATAAAAGAAGCCGCACCCGTCGCGCACGCGCGTAGAAAAACGCCTCTTCATCAACCACCCTAGGAATATTACGAAAGCACTCAACGAATGCCGCAGTTCGGCATTGAAGAAACAACCTACCAAGTTACTCGTAACGTTTTGAGGGTCATTTAAAAATGGTCCCCTAAGGTAGTACCGGATAAACTTCTGTAGACGGCGAATCAAAGAAAAAAAAACATGAAAATTTAACAAAGAAAACATCCAAGAATGGATTTGGAGGTTATCACGTAGATCATTTACTATCGATGCTCCTACATTTTTGTACAGTACTCCGTAGCGATCCAACGTCTATGCACTGGCGCTCGACGCTTTCCACTTGTACTTGGCGGTCACTGCAGCACCAATCGCTGGCTTTGGCTGAGGTGGATGATAGAAGTAAAACATTCCGCATTCGATGCCCACAATGAGCCATTAGTGATCACGCTGCCAAAATATGTTGGAGATTACAGTTGAACAGTACAATCACATAGCTCACGCATACCACATCTATAAATAGGACAGATGTATTCACTCACAACTTGGCGCTTATTGGACCGAATGGCGCCACCGTTGAGAGCGATTGTCTTATTCATGACCAGGATGCCAAATCCACAAGTTTTCAAAGATTTTGATGAGAGAGAGCTGGCAAATCGCGCCTAATGGCACCAATCGAAAAGGGCGTGATATTCATGATAAGGGTGCCAAATTTATTCATTTATTCTGTAGACATGTTAAAGAACATGTGAGTAAAATTAAGAGAACCGCAATTTCTGATGAAGCTAGATACGTCTTTAGAGGTAACATATTTCAGCGGAAAAATATTTGTTGCCCGTTAAAATGTTATTAAAACCTGCGCAAACTCTATTACAGAAAAACTTTGATCTGAATTGAGTTTTCGCAATAGTAAGTATTCAATCTGATCGATGTTCCTCTTGTGTTGGACGGTAACATAGAGAAGAAGTCCTCTACTTTTATTTTTTACAAAATCTTTTCGAAATTTTGAACACCATGAGTAAGTCATATCTCTTCCTTCTTCATTCAAGGCCCCGTATATAGGTTTCCAGCCATTTCCTTGGGAGAAAATTGACGCCAAATGGCGCCGGCGTTGAAAACAAAATGTCATATTTATGACCAGAGCACAGAATAACCCCTGTAGGCAGAGCTCCGGCAATTTTTTTTGAGATTTTTGGGACATAACAGCTCACAAGTGCCACAACTGCAATTTCAATAGCACCCACACACTTTCTCTATGCCTAGTCATCCGTGACTCTCTGTTTCCCATACTCGTTTGAACTCTACTTCTATACCGCGTTCAGGGACTTCGCTCACGAGATCACGACGCGGGCGCTTACACCAAAGCAACGCACCACAGCAACTCCAGAATTTGAATGGACGCTATGAGCGCGTTCATACAGTGCCAATTTCGTGCCCACCATTCGCTGGTTTTAGCGGCCACGGTCATGGCTGTGCGATCGCGAAGCTTGAACGCGATCTTAGTTCACAATTTGCACGCTCAAGCTTACTAGGAGCACGAAATGCAGAAATTAAGGGGAAAAATCAAAATATCTAACGAACCTTTGGATGCTTGAAAGCACAATTCGGTTTCTTACACTTGTTACCAAACAAACATGGTGTCAGTGATGAAAGAGTTGGAACAGGAGTTGGCTCAGTGGACAGTGGCACGCTAAAAAAACATTTGGTAATAAATAGAGGTAAACAAAATCAGCAATATTGATGACAATAACAAAAGCTCGGCATGATGGGGCATTCTGCTGCATACATAAATACTCTTTGAGCATTTGTACACACTTGTAAAGCTACAATAGCAGGAGCTTTGTTGATGCTTGTCAAGAGTGTACAGGTTTTAACGAGGTGTGACGTGCAGTCCGCCAGGAACCAACGAAAAAACTAGAGAAAAGGCAAAAGACCCCTCCCAAGCCGAGCAACGCTCAAAAACCTTATTCGTCATAGATATAAAAAAATGACACCAAGAATTCAGAAGTTAAAAACGTACTCAGGCAAAACCTTCGGCTCTGGAGCTGCCACAGGTCCAGCTGGAGCGACTGGCTGGGGTACCTTAAAAGATATTATCAGCAAACCACAATTTGGCGCCTCTATAATGTGAATATATAAATTTATTACCTGTGCCGGAGCTGGGGTCGGAGCCACTGCAGCAGAGATTTTACCGTGAGTATATGGACAATTCGGATTAACACATTTCCGATCAAATCGACATGGCGGATGAATATACAGACAACGAGAGCCGAACGAACAGTGAGGGAAGTTTCTGGAAACAAAACTGACAATCGGTATGGAAACATACCATCCAAACAAACCAGGGTTTACGTTCGTTAAGCCGAATGATTACAGTAAGGAAAATATGTGTTCTAAACCCAAAGTACACCAGGTTTCTGCTGTTTTTGAGCAGGATGAAGATGTGAGAAATGTATAACTTACATGCACTGCTTTGTAGGATGGGTATAGGAACAATTTTCCCCTTGTCTGCACGCTGGCCAATATCGACAGCGTTCTGGAATTTTCGTGACCGTTGGGAAGTTTCCGGTGTCCTCCTAAATACATGCATTTAACGACTCGTTTCATACGTTTCCGAAAATAAAATACAGCCAGCAATTCCACTTCCATTTAAATATGAAAGAGACGCTTCAACCGAAAGAAACACTGACTTGAAGACTTTGATGAGAGGTGGAAGTGAGGGTAAGCAAGGCAAAAATTAAGTCGTACACATTTTTTTACAACCCTAGTCTCTGATGACCATGAGGAAAACAGGTCCTCCACTCATAACCTTACTTCTTTACATGGGAGAGAGATCAACAGAGTAGCGGAGACTGGGCTGCGTTCATGCTTTGTGAAAGCATTCTGAGCGATGGCAGCGTTTTGAGCGACTAGGAGGTTATCGATCTAGCGCGAGTTGAGCGTTTCACGGCTAGTTTTGAACTTTCTCAGGCAATCGCTGAGAGTGCTATCGAACCCTCAACGCTAGACAGATATTAATACATTCCTAGCCAGCGTCGAAACGCTCAAAACCTTGACGAAAAGTATGCATGCGAGTTCTAGGTGGAAAATAAATCGAATAATACCCTAGAAAGAACACAAAAATGCTATGAAATGCATGAGAAGATTCCAGCCCACCTTCGTCACGGGAGTGGGAACATAATTAGGAGCTTCTCTAGATGGTTGTTGCGTCGGTGAGCCTGCATAACCAGACCAGCTGTTCCCACGACTTAGAGTATGCGTAGGTGGGACTTCTCCGTCTTCATCCATTGAAGTGAAACACCACGAGCATCGGCCAGAACAGCATCGATCTTTGCTTCTTAAACCAGAAGAATCAACGCTGTCTACCTCCTAGAAGAAAATAGCTCACCGTCATCATCCGTTGTGTCCTCCTCATCCAGTTGAATCTGACCATCCCACTTATTACGAACAGAAGGAGACTCAAGTTCGTCCTACAATGCATCTGACACTAATGTTGATTTAGAGGCCAAATACATAACCCGAGCCGGGATTCGGACCGAAACCTCTCATTTGCAGGGCTACTGTGCTAACACCAAAGCCGACTCAGCCCTCTCCGATCAAGTGTGAACAAAAAGGAACAGTTCGACAACGGTGGGGGGGGGCATGTTACACTTTCGTACATCCGACCCACGTGTTTGCCCATCAAGTGGAGACCTGTGAAATCTTGTGAAGCAGTAAAGTTTGTAAAAACCCCCGGTAACCTCTTGTAAAGATACATGTCAATTTTTGTAGTGCAGTAGAATACTATAGAAACACCATTCATATATTGGCCCGACGAGCCTGTTCCAAGCTCACAAGAGTTTACTGGTTTCAACAGAGTAAACCCGAACTAGTGAAGCGGCGAAAGTGCAAAATACACCCCCCCCCCGTTGCCGAACTGTGCCGTTATTGATAAACAATACACAAACAAATCCACTCACCGACAAGTCATTGTCAATTTCTATGGTCCGACCACGCTTCTCCGGCACAACGACAACACCTCCTTTGTGGGCATCTATAAAACAATTTATCAATCGAAAAAACATCCTATTAAGGAGAACAAGAAGTGCGACCCACTCCTTCTTCACGAAGTATGTTATAAATCATGAAATGAATCGGCACTATTTGCTCATTACTGCCCCGATCTTCCAAATTCCACCGGCTCTTTTCTCCGGCTGAGAACATTTGGCTGAAGGTCTGTCTCAAGGGTAGAACGCAACTATCACATTGCTTCGGCCCGGTAACGCTCGGCACCGCGCCAAAAGACCCTAAGTCACAGAATTCGCGGAAAAATTATCCTCAGAGGCAGTTCGACCTCTTCCACATTCGTTTGGCACAAAAATCAAGTGCCCCTGATAGGCGAAGGCACCACATACTTGTTTTCACCCCGGCGCATGTAGTGCGGACTCCAGGCGGTTTTTCCTAACCATAAGCGGTGTGCTAAGGTAGGAGGATACGACGAGATAGGGCAGTACACTTTTAGTTGTCTGCAGTGTGATCCTTCTTTTTCGGTGTTAAGGCTCAGCCATAGGAAAGGATCCCTATTCCGGTGGAAGGGTGCAGACAAGCAGAAACCTCATTTCCTTTGGCGACTCATGCAGATGTGGTCCTGAGGTCCAACTACCCCTTGAAACAAATGTACAGCCAAATCTGCTCCAGGAGAAGTCGCTAAAAAATCTGCAGTAATTCTAGAAGATCAGGATAGTGAAGGAAAGCAGTGCCAATAAATCGAAAAATACATTACAATTTATTTGTTACTAATTAACAAAACAAAAAAGTTTAATAGATCCACCTCCGTTATCCTTCTCTTTACGACGTTTCAAAGTAGTTTTCCTGACTGCTGCCTTTGTCCCAATATGTTCTTTGGCGCCTTTCAATGTCACCGTAATGTGTGGACTAACAGGGCGAGGGCGAGATGCATCGCTCACAACCACGTCCGAATCGCATTCATTTTCACTAAAGAATCGAAACATCAATGCAAACACCACCAGAAAAGGGAGAACTGCTACGAACTGGTAAGATATCATTCTAGACAAGTTTATCACTTCTTCAATCAGGCACATTTTTCATCCTCATTCAGGAGTGAGAGCTTCTTGCCTTCATCTTATCCCACATTAGCACTCTGGCCACATTCTAATCTTATGAGTTCCACTTCAGATTTGATACTTTTCAAAAAGAATAGGACGTTCTCCCAAAGATAGTGGGCGTGATGGCTGGGGAGAGCCGTTCTTGCCAGTGTTATTGGTGCAAGGGATGCAAAGGGGCGTTTGGCCCCACACCACTCAGCCCTTGAACCAATAACGTTGGCAACAACCTCCCGCCTTCAGCAATGTGCTAAACTGGACGTAGACTGGATTCTGAGTGAAGACGAACGCTTAACCTAGAACTGATTGGATGTGTGTGCAAACAGACGTCATTCTATGTGGTGCTTCCTGATGCCGCCGTTAATGGTATACAGTCGCGGAGTTTCGGCGCTGCGCGGTTTGGAGGGGGCATATTGCACTTAGCGCTACCTGCCTCTCTCATTCATGTTACTAAACGATCTCAGTCTGGTAAACCTGTAAACTCTTGCGAAGCCGCGGTATGGTAAAAGTGAGCAACTCGATTACAAGAGGTCACATGTTTTCACAGGTTGATGTACAGCTCTTGCTGTGTACCATTCTTTGCCCCTCACAAGCCGAACTGCGCCAAAAATGGTCTGGTTTCATTGAGAAAATTTCTAGTTTGATTTGAAGCACCAATTTCGATCTGAAGAATCCAGTTTAAAAGCAACTTGAAGACTCGGTAGAAAAGTATTACCTAGCCAGATTACAGGAAAAAGGACAAACGTGTAGTAAATGAACCAACCCGTCGCTATCCACTTCGACAAGACTCGGTCGAGAAATACGATTCTTCAGTGGAGATTTCGATACACGATTTTGAGCAGAAGCCTTCTTAAGGTTAATCATTGAGATGATCAGTAAACAGAAAAAGCTTTTGAGCAATATGTTACACTCGTCTATTTCTCTGCGGACGGTTGGGCGTGTCAGCCAGTATGAGTGTGTCACCCTATGAAAGCTGTTCTCTGCCTTCTTGTTGAAGAGCGCATGCGACAAAAAGTGGTAGAAGACGAGTAATACGAAGGATATGATACAGTTGTCACTTGCCCGCTTCAACAACTGGTGTAGAACGAGTTTGGCACCGCGCCAAACGCAGCCGCACTGACACGCCCAACCGTCCGCAGCGAACTACACTATACTTACCTTTTTCTCCGCGAGGGAAGAACCATATCCAGCGCTCACGCTTGCTTGATTCATTGCTTTTAGGAACATAGACGATCCCGCCTTCATAGTTTTCTTCTCGAATTCACTGGAAAACAAGTGTGAATGGGTTGTTTTCTAGAAAATTCCAAATCACTCGTTTTAAGTAAAAGGATAGGGAGATTGGAATGTGGGCGCGCTGAAAGAAATTCAAAAGCTCACCTAGTAGCCGTTTTCAGCTTCCGCATGACGTGCACCTGTGATGAAACCTTTACCGGCTCAGGGCTAGCAGCAAGCGGACGTTGAGCGATCACGGAAGAAGCAACCTCAAATTCAACTTTTTTTTTCTGAGGACTTCTTCGATAAAAAATAACAAAATAATGAGAAGAGAAGAACGATCGCAATCGAATACAGTCCATATCCCGAAGAAGGGTAGGACGTTACCGCGTAAATCATCTGAACAAGAAGAAATGCATTTTCTTGGGATTTTTCCATTTGAGACAAAGGTCATTCTGTATTTTGCTGAGCAAGGACATGATTACAATGGCCCTGGACCCCAGAAAGCGCGGTCGCCGCCATGCCCACCGCGTCTCTGAATATGGAGTGTACCTGATGCTGACTGCACTCACCTTTTTATTACGTCCTTCAAACTCGTGCTCGGACTCGTCGTCCGACCAAGTCTTGGAACGTGAACGAGAACGTGACCTGCGCTCTTTCGTTCTCCGTGTGGATCTTCCGGTATCACGAGTTCGGACAACTTCTGTCCGAGCTTTTGACCTGGAAACAAATGGCCAATCAAAATCATGACCTAATGCAGAGCGAAAAACTGAAATCTTGAAACACACCTCTCTTGCTCACGAATTTTCTCCTGCCGTTCAGCTTCTTTGGCCCGTTGCTCTGCTTCCCTAGCTCTTTCTTCGCGTTCCTTTTCTTTGGCTTTCTCCATTTGACGAATCCTCTCCCTTTCCTTCTCTTTCTCCCGTTCTCGTTCCTTTTCACGTTCCTTCTCCTTTTCTGCCTCTTTTTTCTTCGATTCAGACTCCGCATAGCGATCTGAAGATGAGTCGTGAGCTTTAGCTTCGATAAATGCAAAATTCCATCTTAAAAAAACAGATATAATTTTGCCCTAACGAGATGAATGGACTCTTTGCACAAGGAACCCATCTAATCAGCAGCTGATTTTCTTGGAAAGTGTTGTAGGATGCGCCGAGTACCACGCGAAGCCTTGTTCACAGTAAGAACTTGACGAATCGGAGAAAATTCAAGGCGCGACAAATAATCGAATGGAGAATCGTCAATCGTCGAACACTCTAGGCGAAACGGCGGCGCCCTTCGTCGCCAATGCGAAAAGGGCTAGATTCGTAGATTTCGCTGACTCTGCTCAGAGAGAAGAACGCCAGAGTGAACGGTGCTAGCGCGTCTGCGCAGGTGAAAGCGCTGTAGCCGCCCCGATTAACAGCTATAACGAAATCTTGATCTTTCGCAGAAGCCTTTCTTTCTTCTATTCGTCAGGCTCGCAAACTATGAAAAATGCCTCAAGTTGTAGGTCGACTCAGACCGCCCCTTGCTGGGACAGCCCATGCTTTCTACACTAAGGGGTGGGTAAATCAGTAACGGATACGGTTGGGAAGATAAAAAGTTACTGACAGGGTACAGCATCGTGATGTGTGAGGTGGTGGTGCAGGTACGACCCTCCCCCCTTCCCAACAGCTACCTATGATACCCATATTTTAATCCAGTTTCCACCAAAAATTTTCCGTCGAGCGGAGGGGGGGGAGGGGAAAGGGGGGTATATAGTGCACATGAAACAGGAAAAATCACGCAAAAGTCAACAACCGGAAAACCAACGCGACAAATTTCTCTCAAAGGCACATACGACCCCCTCTCTCCCAACGACCAAATACGACCCCCCTATTGTGTTTCACCCTACGATGCTGTACCCTGGTTTACTGAAGTCCCATAGGAGAGTCTAAAACTTGAAAAATTCTACGGAATCCAGCAAAAGTGTCAGAAACGTATCAATTGGGAAAACTGTGCAAGAGAAAGTGTCGGATAAAGCGCACCCACGAAAGGGACTAAAATACACTTCAGCCATCATCGATTTACTGGCCAATCAGAATGTTGAAATCATAGAAAGACAACTCAGGATGATACTTTTGAATGATTTTAGTAGTGAAATTATACTGGGCGGAACACACAGAAATTATAGTGGGAGGAACACACAAAAAAAATTTTTTCCCACGGCCAAATGGATGACAGCTCATCAGCTTGCAGGTGTAACCAATATAATGCAGTCAGGTCTACTTGGAAGGGAGGAGGACGAGAAGCATACAGGTCAGAAGATAGAGAATTTGTCGTGTAATGCGCTGCTCAGCTTGGAGGGGCATTTTGCACTTTCACTGCTTTGTTCAGTTAGTACATGTTATGTACAGGTCCATTTTTGGAGAGACCTGCAAACTCCTGTAAATGACCTGAACAAGCTCAAGCTGAGCGGCATCTGATGCTCCCACCATCCACTCAGCAGGTAACTCCAAATTATTAGCACTGCACAGAAGTTATAACAGAAAGCCAGTACTTCAGCGTGTGTAGTCTTATACGACTAAATACTAAACCACATATCTTTCTGTACAAAATTGAGCTGAGCTTAGCTAGTTGCCGTTAGTATGCTACTTGTGATGATTTGCTTGGGTCCACGCTCTACGCTACGCTTTCCAAAAAATAATGGAAGAAAAGAACGATAAAAATAGTCAAATAATAAAACAAACTAATAATATCAACAATAATGACCAAAGTAAAAAAAATAAAAAAAGAAGATGACTTCACCTCTCCGATCATCCCGTTTCGAGGTACTCACAGGAGGCTCCACATCCTTCCTGCGTTCTTTGTCCCTAGTGATTTCCTGTAAAATTGCCTTTTACTCTTAAGCCTTGAAATAAAAACGAACAACAAAAGCCTCAATAACAACGATAAACCATTACCTTGGTCGATTTTTCACCCCCTTGTTGGCTGTCAGACTTGCTTGCAACGGTTTGCAGCCTCTCGAATAGATCAAAAAGCCTTAAAAAAATTTGATGGGGTAATCAATGTACTTTTGCTTGTAGCACTTCATGTTTCACAATAATGATGAGGACTCGGAGATTAAACAATTTGGCAGCTGTTCGCCAAATGTGCACGGGTGTTATTCATTGAGGTGGACAAAGTGGGCCAACCAGCAGGTCTTCCTAATCCCATGACTCACAACCATGTCTTCACATCACGGCGCTAGCCCACTAAAGGTTCGCTTGAAGTGGAAGCGTCAAAACGTCACACCACATCTCATGAAACATCATTGACAACGAAATGGGACACCCATTTTTCCAGGCTATCTCTTCGATTTCTCTTTTTGCGCTTTTGCCATCCAGGACTAGATTTTTCCCTGTATAGGACCCCCTCCCTATAAGAAGAAAAATCGACAACTAAAAGTCGGAAAAGTTCGGCGACGGGACGGAGGGGGGGGGGGCATTTTGCACTTTCACTGCTTCCCGTCGTCGTGTTCACTGTTTTACAAGAGTTGACAAGTATTCTTTACAAGAATTGACCAGTAGTTTCTACAAACTTTGACTGATATCAGATCATGCCTTCACAAGATTTCACAAATCTCTACCTGACGGCTCGACATTACAATGGGAAGCAGCGAAATTGCGAGACTCCCCTCCCCCCACCCACCGCTAAACTCCGTCCGAGAATCTTTCTCCAAGCCAAGCATCACCCCTTTTCTCAATGATCAAATTTAATGCTCTTCGACGTACACTTAAACATGTGTGTGACGACATTTGGCAATGGGAAATGAGAATTTATGCTTATTTAGGGCGGAAGAGCGTCAATTCAAGGAGACTAATAGCTTAGCTGCAAAACAGGAATTACTGCATTTATAAACGTAGTTTCACCCGACTCCCTCCCACACACTTGAATGACGTGCCATAAAACGTCATGTGACGTCATGGTATGTTTTATCACCAGAGCAACTAGCAAGTTGGAAAATTCTCAATGGAAAGGGGAGGAGGGGGGCTGAAGAGCAGCAGGAATCGCGTTGAGCCTAAATATTTCCCAATTGGTAATTTTCCCGTTTTATGAAGTCTCCTCCAACTCTTTTCTAGTCGGCAGCGCTGTATACCCCTCCTCCATCGGTCGACGGCAAAATTTTGAGTAAGTTTGCTAATATGGCCGTCAAAGGCTGTCGCATCGGGAGAAGCCTGAGGAAAGGTCGTATTTAGCGGGACTTCTCCCTAAGGTCAGGACGTGCCTCAGAGCACGCCCTCGCGTTGTGATCATTTTTCAAAAATGACGACCCCTCCTCCCAGGCTACCTACCACTTTCAATAGATTTCCCCATTCCTACCACTTTTTCCATTTCTTCCCGAAAAATTTCCAGTTGTTTCAGCCAGGAATTCCCCGTCCAAGAATTACGTCCAGCCGGGAGGGGGGGGGGAGTCGTCAGGATTTGACTATCATTTCAACTATCGGAAATAGTAGTTGTATAGATCTTTGGCAGTCCCTCTCCCAACGACCAAATACGACCCCTAACTCTTTGTAGCGTCCATGAAACAAGAGAAATTAACTACCAAAAAAAATTTCGACCTACTACGACCCCTCTCCCTCGCGGTCGAATACGACCCCCCCCCCGTTGTGATCATCACAACGAGGGCGTGCCCTGACGTGTCCTGTTCAACGTGTAAGTTTACAAGGCGCACTGGACTGCAGACCCATAACAGACTAGCACCGAAGATGATTGCCGTGGGTCAAAAAGCCTTAGGTTCTCTGCAGGAAAATTCCACCTTTTTCAACGCTCACTTCATTCTTATTCTATATGCCCATCCCGTCCTTTGCACCTCTGTCCTGTGAAAAAGTTTCAGCACAGTACACTGTTTGTACTACTTAATATATAATAGGAAAGTACAAAAGCAAAATTCTGTTCTCAATATACACACACAAACTGAAACGAACACTAACCAATCCACGAATTTATTCGTGCACTTTCCCAAAAACAAATTTAGATCGTCCTTCATCTGATTTTTCTCCTTTTTGTTTGCTATCATAACCATAATATATTCGGGAAGTTCATCATCAACATAGACGCCTAGTTCTTCGAGCTTCGCTTTTATCGCAGCCTAAACCAAATTTCGGTGTGAATAATTCATTGAAAATTAAACGGACGCACAAACCTTGAGCTTCTTAGACACATCTACACCCTGTCCGACAGCCATAATATGCACCTGTAAAGGCTAAAATCTTTAAAAATCATGCATAAACCAGACAAATCGACGGATACGTGACGCGTGGCAACGAGCTTTCAATGGCTGCTAGCACATCGCTGAGTAAATTAGCGAAATCACGGAGCGATAGTGCCTCGGAGGCGTCTCAGGACATCTGTCAACCGCGGAGCCTCCTTCCTTGTTCTATTTTCACTTCTTTCGTTCTCTTTCTTACTTTACTCCCTTCAAATGTTCGACCAGAAGATACGATGAGAAAATGTCTATGATTCATCGCAGCGAGAGAACACCCAATTGACAGAGGCCTTGTAACCGCCTTGGGGGAGGACAATTTGCAATTTTGTGTCAGTGCAAGCGCTCAATTTTCGAGAGCCCAGGAGGTGGGCAAGCCAATTTTTTTGAAACGTTGGGATATACGCCCATTCGCCGGTCAAACTGCCGCCAAGCCCAGGCATACCAAGAGGCACATAACGGCATTATGGGTAGACTAGAATCCAACCACCTGGCCAACTTCCGCACATGCTGGCTAAGTACGTTCAAAGCAATGCTTGTGCAAAATTGGGAGTACCGAGATGCGAAACTCCTTTTAGCACAAAGAAAATGGGTCGAATTTGGGTCCGAGGGGTCAAGCGGCTGTGTTTTTTTTGTTTCCCAAGGTCGAGTGTAAAGTAGTGCAGAGCCCGCACAGCTTAGTCTAGTAGAGAAGATATAGTCCGCGCACCCCTGCCCTCCCCCCCCTCCACAAATGCTAGCTCAGAAAACTGCCCACCGATCTTATAGCTCCTTTCCTCCTCAGCTTTTGCATAAGTTCGCATCAGGGAACGTCGCACGCTGGGGACCTCCCAGCAGAGGTCGTATCTAGTCGCTGGTGGAGGTCGTACTTCAACTGTGTATAGTTTTTTTTCAATAGTTCATTTCATCTATTTTAACGCCGCGGCCTGGTAGACTACCACTGGAAGGAGAACGCGTATAGCTCGTAGAAATTTCACGGTTGATGAATTATCGCGGTTTTTCTAGTTTCTCATGCGCCGTACTCTCTCCCCCTTCCGCTCGATGGCATTCTTTTGGGGTGGGGGGGGGAACTGGAAACATTTCTGGGAAAGCAGGAAGAAGTGGTAGGAAGTTGGGAAAGATCAGTAAGATGGTAGAATAGGAGGAAGGCAGGGTTTATACCAGAGGAGCAAATAGAAGCGTGGGGGCTGGAGGGTTCGTGTTTAGCAGAAATTTTCTTCAGCGACAGGGAGTGTCCTGATTTGCAGACCCGTTTTGGAAATCCCACTTTTTTTTGAAAAAACCCCCTTCGACACCCCCCCTCTTCTCCATGATAGACTTGCGCAGTCCCAACCAACTGATTTATGCCTTCTGTAAATTGCAAAGATAACTGAAAGACGAATATGAAAGCAGCCTTCGATGAAGCCAAAACAAAGTAAGAAAGCAACCTCAGATGAAGCCAAACAAAAGCAAACGCCAAAAATCAAAGAAGGAAACGGCGAGAACGATATCAATCCATTTCACACAAATATCGAACAAAAACTACCCAAAAAGATGCAATATCGATCCACATTATCGAGCCATTAGCCACACAATAGCGAGTCAGACAAGGCGGACCGGATTTCACCCAGCGACTGCGACGATACGAAAATGGGGTGTGCCACGAAACTCGTCCACAGGGAAGCACGAATGACCAATAAATAGAGGAAACATTCAAAATTTAAAGCTCCAAGAGAGTAAATAATCAATTCTTCTACCCATTAAGGACGAAAAATGGCAGAAAGACTTGGGTGATGACCGAAGACCGAGAACCTTTGAAAAAATTTCGCTCCTGTGACTTGGAAGAAGAACAACATTCGTTTGCCTGGGTGTTAACCCGATAGCCCTGCTTTCATAAAATGCTAGAAAGAAACTAAAAGGAACTCGGTGGCTAATAGAAAACTGAAAATCTCTCAGGAGCTCCCCCTTCACAAGCAGGTCCGTGATTCTTCGCGAGATATCCAATAATATACGAAATATTGCGGTGGACATGCTCTAACTGACGCGCTACTTTGAGGGTGATTTTTCGCTTGGTCACATGATTTTAATGCTCTAATGTTGGTATTTATCTGAATAGTATATTGCCAGTTCATTCAAATATTCATTTAGAAATATGTCAGAATCCACGGAAGATCTCAAACATGATGGTAATCGTTTCTTCCAACAGGGACGATATCAAGAAGCTATTGATGCCTATAGTAAAGCTATTATCAGAAATCCACATGTATCTACTTATTTCACTAACCGAGCCCTTTGTCATATGAACGTATGTTTGCCAAGTTTTTTCCCTTCTATTTGCACCATGTCTATTTCAATTCCTATTTCAATGTGGTTTCAGCTAAAAGCATGGAGCAAAGCTGCCGAGGATTGCTCAAAAGCTGCATTTTTGGATAGAAATAATGTCAAAGTTAGTTTAACTTCGATTTTATGGATTGGTTTTCATCTTTTGTAGGTTGGTTTTGCGGTTTTGGTGAGGTGACTTCACGTCCCGTGTTGTTTGCATTTGAAATGTGGCCCCACGGCTCCGCGCGCTTCAATCGATACCCGTTCTTGACGTACATCTAGACGGGTAATCGATAGATCTTCCAACCGGGAAACTATCGAGCTGCAGAAATCTGCAAAGCCGCGTTATACTTTGCGACACTGCGAGATAGCCGGACTAGGACGGTAACTAAATTGGATAGGCTTGCGCAACAAAATAAGACTAGGAATCGATCGATGTGGTCCGCTGGTAGCGAGTTGGAACCAACTAGCGGATTTTTTGAAGTCAATCGATTTCCTTTCTCCTCTACCCCAATTCTTCTATTTCCGGTTTCGCAATGTATGAGCGCAACACAATACCTTCCAGGGTTTATACTCTAGTTGGACGAAGGGGCGTGTAAGGCAGTTGAGTGTGAGATGACGCAAAATCCGTTCTCTGCCAGTTGTTGAGGCGTATGCGATAACATTTGGTAGGAAACGAGTGATACGAACGATATGGTACACTCTTATCACTCGCTCGCTCCAACAAGTGTTTGGAAAGCGTTTTCTGCGCAATGCGCCAACTTTGCGTTTCCCTGTTCTTGGACGCCCTTCATTACGGCGATGAGCTCTCAAGAGCAAGAACGGGCACTTTATATTGAAGAAGACAAGTTAGCAGCTTCATGTACAACCCCTCCACCGTTACTTCATCTTATGCAACCCCCCCCCCCGTCTCTAACCTCGAAGCCCTTGTTCACCCATTGTCCTTCTTCCATTCAAGTGCGATTCTACAAAAGAACTCGTCATTCATAGAGGAACTTATCTGGGGTATACTTCACCGGAACGGTATTCGGCCTCACAAAATCCCTCGCTCCTCAGGTGGCGTAGTATTAACTTCGCGATTCGACCGCCTTGATCGTTGCGATCGGTAAGCTTTAGACTGACTCTCTCAGGAAGTCAACATATTCTCTACAAAGTAAGCATTGGCAGGACGTAATTATTCATCCTTCCTTAGACGGATATTTCATCGGGGCGCCAACAATTGAATTAACCCATTTTCTTTCTTTTCTTTACAAACCATTCGAAGGAGCGCCGTATCGTCTTATTGGAAGCCCAGATTTCTTCTATTTCTCGAAAATGATGGATTTAGAAGAAGCGTCTTTACCATCAGGCGGGGAGACTCTAACCAGCACCTTGACGCTTAACGCTATCGTACGTCACCGGGGCCGACTCTTGCCCTCTTCAGCCTAAACGCCTAAAGCTGTTACCCATTAAACGCCATCCGAGCTGAAGATGCGTAAGAGGACGGCCCTGCTGGCGGGGTCGGGTAACAGATAGCGTACTCGCTCGGTAGGGGTGGAAAGTGCTGCTTCTTGTCTTCACCGAAGACTGTGTCACGTAAACTTCGCCAACCATTGTTTGGTTGCCGAGCGCCGAGCTGCCGACGTGAATGACTGTGACGGCGTTATCATGATAAAAACGCTATTGAAAAAATTCTTCCTGTGCGGCAACCGTGTGTTACACCTCATCTTGAATTTATGAGCTCTTCGGACCGTGAGAAGTCGCTGCGGATGATATGCTGATAGCGCCATATGACTAAGCCAGTGTTGCCAGATTTCGATAGCCCATCTTCGTCATAGATCTGCTTACGAGGGAATAGGAAATATCCGTTTTGAGGTGTAAAGAAGTTAAACTAGTGAGAGCTGGTACTCATCGCAGAATTCTGTTAAAGAAGCCTATGAACGAGGTGGAAAAAATATCCATGTTTGTGTATTAACTATGGGAGAACCTGCAATGGTGGACCCTCCTGCTTGGGGTCCAACTTGTCGTTCGCATGAAATCCTGGTTGAACTAGATCTTCACGGGTTAAGCTGTCAGTGAGCCCAATGGTTTATGTCGCAGCTTCCGTTCTTTGAATAAGACCAGGAGGCGGCCATACTTCGGTCTCAAGGGAGACGATATACCTAATACCTATGCAGTTCCGCCTTAAGATTTCACTCTTTTTTTGGGGTCCTGTGTAGCTCTTTTTGTACTTTATTATCTAGCCGGCTTCTTGAATACTTATTTAAGAGTTATGAGTATCTTCGAGTACACCTTTGAATGCATTGAATAAGTAAATGAAATTGTAATATTCAAGGCTTACTACTTTTGGTGGACGTGCAGCTATTCAATTAGGCAACTACAATGAGGCTATACGACTCATCACAAAGGCTAAGGAATTGGCTAGCAGTCAAAAGGTAAGCCTGTTTGAAGACTTAAAGCTCTTCCATTTTGTAACCCTTGCACTGTTTGAGTGTTTCTAGTTATCCCACAGTATTTCGACCCCTTCATCTGTTTTCAAAGGCTCGGACATCCCTAAGGAGGTAGGCGCTGAAGGGGAGAGGAGCATTTAATGCTATGGACAAAATTCACTAGAAATGGGCCTGCGAGTGCCATTCGTGTCGTTGCACTGGGAGAGTTTTCAAGTAAGACTGTCAGGATTTATGTGTCTCGGTAATCCTCAGAGTTCCGTTTGTTAGTGAAGGCAAAGGATCACACTAAGGACGTTCGAATACGCTCGAATAACAGCGATGTTAAGTTCTTAACTTGTTTTGTGCCTTACGAGGTTGATAGGTGGAACTATTTATTCAATATGGCCTAACGTTTCGACTGAATCGTCGTCATCAGAGGCCTGAATGTGTTTCAAGGATTAGATTGCGCTCTACCCCACCAAGCGCCTCGTCAACTCTAGCGGTTCCGACATCGTGTCAGGAACCCCTCGAGAAGACCCCAATAATGCGAAAGCCAACCCACCGACGGTTCCACCTTATTAGGGACAGTGTCCGCAGCCACACAAGAGCGACAGTTAGTTGTAAATGAAGAATACTGCGCTGTCTCCGTATAATAGAATATTGCGGAGACGCACGTAGCGCTCTGTCATTCTACAGCTCGCAGTGTTCTATGAAACGGCAGAAGGTCATTTGTTATTGCAGGACACTCATCTCGGCTGTTCATTCTGGGTTTTCTGGTGAAAATCCAGAACGCTTCTAATGCTTTTCTTGCGGAAATTTCCGTCTCATGTGCCAGCAATATGCACTTTATTTCGAACTCTACACCATTATGCTGCTCAACTTTATGCCTTCCGAGGGCTGTTGTGAGGGTACCGCGTCTCATACCTGCAAGATGTTCCTTGAGGCGAATTGCTAGGACCCTTCCTGTTTCCCCGATATATGTAAAGTTACATGCCTGGCATTGGATTTCATATATCACTCCTGATTGCATACAATCGCCAGGTTTCCCGTGCGGGCAAGTAACGCAGTTTTCTGATAAGCACTGCTTGTCGTAGAGTCTGTTGCGAACCAGTTGCCGTTTGATGTTTTCGTTAGGTATATTCACCAACTGCACATCGTCCTGCAACTGTGCTCTTACTATACTCCGTTGGATTGCAGCAGCTTACTACATTCAGAAATAAAGGGAATGCATAAGGGTAGTTTATTTTGACGCGGTCCCTCTCGCGGATTGATGTACTGTCTCCTTCGAGGAGGTGGTGCCGTATAACCATTCATAGTGGCTATTTTTGTAGCTAACTGTCGTGATTCTTCTCGCTCTGCATCGTCCGTGCACATTCCGATTGCCGTTTTGAACATGTTGCGAACAACAGCGCGTTTACGGCTGACGGATGGGCCGATGTGGCGTGAACCAAGATGTTCTTTGAGCTACTTTTACGGTACCACTTCACTCGAGTTATGCCATTGGATACGTTGACTTGCGTGTTCAGATAGGGTAGCCAACCGTCTTGCGGGGTTTCTCGTGTCAGCTTAATGTACTGTGACTGTTCATTCATCAATCGGAAACACTCATCCATTTCGGACTGTGTTGATGTTATTATGAAACAGTCGTCTATGTATCTACAGTACATTAGAGGCAAACGTTGTAGCACCGGTTCCTCTACTCTACTCATAAAGCAGATAGCGAGGACCGGTGCAAGACGCTGACCCATGGCGAGCCCTCTGATCTTGACAATAGTATGTACCTGCCCATTTGAAGATGTTACAACTCAAACATTCCTTGATTAGAGTCATGATGTGTGCTTTGTCGAGTCCGAAAGTTTGTATACGAGCAATGTGCCTATCTAGCATTTCGGATAATGCTTGTAAGGCTTGCTCGTTCTGGACGTTGGTGTAAAGCGATGTAACATCAAACGACTCTACCACAGCTCCGTTTTGGATGTTACAATTCCGTAGCTGTTCAAGGAAATGATTGGTATTGGGCAGGTGAGAGGGAACCATGGGTAGCAGTTGGCTGACGATAGCGTTAAGAAACCACGATATTCGATCGGTTGGTCCCCCCACGCAACTAATGATGGGTCGGATCTTATACGCATCCGCAGGCAGTGACAGCACATCACTGTGAGGAGCAAGCTTGTGGGTCTTCAAAAGGCTATAGAAAACTGGGCAACTTGGGTTGTCCAGTTTGAGCCTACTAACAAACTTATCATCGAGCCCTGCAGACTTTCCCAATGCACAACCATGCATGATTGAGACGTCTGCATTGCGATGAAAAGTCTTTTTCACTGACGCGGCGGTAAACGCTAGAATCCCGCAAATGGACTTCAGTTATGGCACGATCAAGAGATTGTGGCATAACTACGAATTCACCACCCTTATCACTGACGGATATGCGTATGGAACCATTAGATCTTAACTCACGCAATTCTCTGAACCCCAGCCATTGTTCGCGGGTTAAGTTCGTGTTTCGTAGCCGTTTAAAACGATTGAGAACGGCTAGAATACTAGTTGACAGTATTCTGAACTTAACATCGACTTCGTGTGCTGGTTGAGGTTCTCTGTAGAATGTGCGCGGAAATGGTATACTCAGACGCGATCCTGGATAAAGAGTGGTTTGCGGTACTCCGTGGCGCTCGCTATTTAGGCGTAGTAGGTCTCTAAGCCTTTGAAGACCTCCAACTACTTTTCGAAACACTTGTGCTGTGATGTTCTGAGCTGGCGAGAAAGACGGACCAAGGCTCAACAGATCTAA